GAGTTCGGTCTGCACCCAGGAAGCGCGGTGGAGCCAGCGGCACTGTAAATGTGCGGGATCCCTCAGAGATCGTCTACATATGACAGCGTGCGGCGCACTCTATCGCAAAACTCGATAGTCACTAGAGTCGTGCTTTCGAGGGAGGGAGGGACGAATGTTGTGGGATCTATGAGGGGGGTCCTGCTCTGTGGACATATTTATTCGAGGCTGGACGATGTGGATTGTGCTAAAGCTTGGTTCGGCTAGATTCGGCCTTAGTTGCAATTTGGCCTCTGCAGGCTTTCACCCGAACTCCGACCTGAAAATCCCAAAGCTTGGAGACATCGCCCAAGGATTACCTACTATACCATTCTTCGAGGGTCATTGAACTTAGTTTTTCCCCGTTACCTGGCCTAGACGGAGTCCGATCCAAAGGTTCCGGCGAAAGTTTGAACTCTCTCGCCGGGATTTCGAGAAGCCCTCGTCTCGGTAGGGATCCCACCGTAACCGTACACCGTATACGGTTACGGTTACGGTACGGTTAAATTCAAACTCGACAAGGAGCAGCGAGGCTGACTCCGCAGAAGGTGTACAGAGGTCCAAGGGTGACACGAAGGCATTTGATTGTACAATTGTAAGAAAACTACTCTCTCTGGGCGCCGTTCAATGGGCCGTATACGGTACGTAACCGTACCGTATGGTCGTAACCGTACCGTATGGTCCGAAAAAACCTTGCGGTATACGGCCGTAATTTGTTCGGCCCGTAACCGTATACGGTACGGTGGGATCCCCGGCGGCCCTCGGTGGTCTCGGAAAGAGTATCTCAACAACCTGGATCCTTCGTGGAGATTTTTGTGGACCACTAGGTATGTACGCAGGTGTGTATACTCACTCAGACGCGTCCCGTTCCCTCAAGACTCGAATTTGGCTGGAACATGTGACATCAAGGCGCGGATTGCAATTTCATGTCAATCCGTGGTCTCACACCTTATTATTTACTTTCGTCGCTTGTGCTAGAAGTGGGCGTTCCGGAGCAAAACACTAGCGACATCTGCGGACACCGCCTTTGAATTGCTCTTTCTCCACTCTTCACCATGTCCACTCCAAGCAAATTGCCCAAGACACTTCCTTGTGGCTTTCTAGACAAAGTCCAGACACTCGATTCACTCCAGACCGGCCACCTCCGCCACTTTCACAATCTCGCTACAGCCCCGCTGGGCGAATGGCCCCACATGGGTACACAAGTCGACGGGCAAGAATGGCTCGACTCGCTGCGGTACCAGCTCGCAACAATGGCGTATGCTGCCGGAGCGGCACACTACCACCATCTACCTGCTCTGCGTTCCCGTCTTCAAGTCCTTGTTGGGAAAGTCTAATTATGCGGGATGATGGACAAGGCAGTTTGGGGGGTACTGGTATCTGACGAGCCAGAGCGGACGGATGGCCGATCCCGACATCAAGGAGCTGAGGAAACCGTGGCCGAATCCAGTTTCAAGGGAGAACATCATGGTATGTCGCCCGGTCTTTGTTTGCAGTACGACTCGAGTTGACTATCACCCAAGTATTCGGGGCATCTTCTTCTCATGGTGTCGTTACACGCGATGTTGATCGGCGATGACAAGTACGACGCGCCTGACGCGCTCGTGTTCGACTGGAACCCGATCTTCTGGGGCATGGGGCGCGAAACATTCTCATACACTCGCATGACCCTCCAAGACACCATTCTCAACGAGATGGAAGCCGAAAACTGGCTCGGCGTATGCTGCGAGCCGAATTGCATGTCGGTGCTTTTTCAGAGGCGCAATAAACATTGCTCAACGCGTCCCCAGCTTTGTCGTGTGCAACCAATTTCCGGTAAGCCACGGTTCAATAGCGGCATTCGTAATCTAACTGCATGCACTCAGCTTATCGCGATACGATACAACGACGCTCGCAACGGTACGAATATCATCGAAGGTGTCCTCGAAAAGTACACCGCCGCCTGGAAGTCCAGGCAGGGTTTCTTGCAGGACGACGGGCTTTTTATCCAGATGTTTAAAGTGAAGCGTGGCGATCGCATCCTCGAGCGTGGTGTGGGCTTCACCGCATGGTAAGCGCCTACCACGAGAAAATATATGCGCGCTTAATTCAGTGAAAAATAGGGCCTGCGCATTCATGAACGCCTGGAATTCAGAGGAGGTACACGCGCTCTACCCTACCCAAATTCTCGGCTTCCTCAGCACCGTCCCGAGGACGGGCGTGTAACGTCAACAGCACACCCGTCGGTGTCGCCCTCCGCAACTCTCGTCAAACAAGAATGCGCCGATCCGGATGCGCCTGAAACGCTACGCCGCGCGCGCGAGCTCGCGGGGCCGCCCGAGAAAACGCGCCTACACCCGCCCTGACTTCGGCTACGTCGTCCAATGGGTCTCCGAAAGTCGGCAAGGCCGAGACCCTCGACGGCCTCCTCCGCCACGCCGACGCGTTCCTCAGCCCGACCTGGGAGCGCGGGCGGGCTGTTCTACCCGCGGTACGATGAGTCGGAGGACGCCACGGGGAACTGGACGCGCATGGATTCGTACACCGGCAACGCCGGCAATTGGGTACGCGCGCCTGAACGTGCGCGACGGGCAGAGGAAGATGTGGGAGGCGCCGTGGACGCCGGAGCACTTGGCTAACACGCCGTATGTCGACGGGGTGGGACTTGAGCTCTGGCGTTGATTTTCTCCGTGGCGTGTGGGATGCGGATGTCGGCGCCATGATTGTGGACTCTGCGGACGTGGGATGGGTTCCAGCAAGACGTGAGTCCCGTGCACTGGATTGAAAACGCAGGCTAATCGTAATAGTAACAGAATATCCCTTGTCTTCCGTAATCTCCCCGAGGGAACCTATGGACTGTACATCAACGGAGAGCTATTCGACATGCACTCCGTAACTGAGGCAGGCGGCAGTATCCCGGCAAACGGTGGTGGCAGGCAGGATGGAACTCGACCTAGTTTTACTACAAGACACCTCTTGATATATTCCGCGACCGGAGTAATGTATGCGCGCTAGAATATACTTATCATGATATCTATATCGTGAAGCCACTGTACAGTAAATATTGTAGAGGGATAAATACATGTAGTGATAGGGGGCCAGTGGGATAGAGTGTACATGCGCGACTGCGATCGAAAATATAGCTATGAAGTGGGGTATTAATTGCAGATGTCGGTGTAGGCATGTGGTTATAGAAATTGCCAATAGCGGTATGCATAGATGGTACAGAAACGGCGATACGTACGTATCACTGTTGGGAGGAGAAGCACTTGAAGGTTTGACCGAGGGACCGATAGGAATCCACCACAAGGAGCACCCAGAACCAGAGACGAGCCGAGTCAGACAGGAGAGTCACTGAAACAAGTTTTCATCCCAAATAAGAACCCAGAGTCGCTTTCGCACCCGAGAACATGTTTTTCAGGGACCAAGGAGCACGACCAGTCTTGTCGGGGATCGAAGCCCTATCCTTGACGGGGCCAGAATTTGACGGCGCTGAGGAGAAACGTTAATGCGGCGTGCGGCGATGACAGGGAGCCCAGATACCGTGTTGGTGCTTTTATGCCAAGGGCTTCTCGGGGGCGCAACGACCGGGGCCAGAGGCTCTTGAGCGTCGTCGACGTCCGGGTGGTTCTTGCGCTGGCCAAGGAAATGTCAGAACGGGGGTCAAGGTGAACTTTCGGAGATGTACCTTGAGGGAGATGGGCTTTTGCAGCACCGCAGGACATCTTCCCCACCGTAGGCGGTCCAGCGGCCAACGCCGTCAGCGGTTCGTGAGCGATACGTGCCCCATAGATTCTAGACGACGTAGAAGGAGCCTGTAAGACGTTCACCCAGTCATCGGCGTTGGCGTCGGTCTTGAGCTCATCATCCTCTTCGGCGAGGTATGGATACGGGGATGCCGGAGGCGTGGTGAGTAGGCTGTCAATGAGTTCAAAATATTGCTCTTCTTGCGCCTTCGAGATCTTGAGCGGCCTACCCGCGAATTGCAGCGCATATATACGCTGGATGCCACGCAGCTCTGTCGAATTCGAATTGTCAGGACTTTACAGTGGAATGTTACTATGTCAACGAACCGACTGGGTGCTGGTTATTCGTTGCATTGCGCGCTCTTTTGGGCGGACGGCTAACGAGGGGTGAGGAGAGGGACTAAAGGAGGGAAAGGATGAAGCCTTACAATGACCTGTAGGCTTCGATCGCCACCGGTATCAAGGACCGAAGACGTGGCGGACCCAAGGGAGGATCTGCCCGAGGTTCTCCGTGTCCGAGTTCCACAATCCACCTAGGAAAATGTGGACAGCGTCCCGAACTAAGGTGACGCCCTTCGATGCAACCCGCAGTCTCGTGTTACGATGGCAGGGCTTCTTCATAAGCTCAAAAAGAACTTCTTCCGACAGCAAGCAGTTTTCCAATGCCTTCAAGAACGTCAGACGAAGAAAAGAGACAGCAGATAAGATAAGTATCTTACCCCGAACATCCCCACAGGGCATCCCACGCCAAGCCCACCGCAAGCATCCATGAACGAGACAGCAAAAGCGAGATGCAAGGCGGCTCTCCCGAGGCACTTGTACCCTTCTCGTACTTCGTCGTTTGTCGACAGCATGGTGTTCCACGTCGCTGGGGGTATCCACGGCAGCTGGACCTTGAAATCTCGTTGGCGAGTTGTCGACTTGACGGCATCGAGGACGGCTCTTTCTCTTGTTTTGGTGGTGGGCATTGCTGAGGCGACGGGATGGGTGTTGCGTTGCTGGGAAATATCAGGGTTACGTCACACTTTATGCCAAACGCGCCGTGAGAGAGATTTTGCGTAAAACGGACGCGATTGATATCCCCACCTGCAACGGATCAAGTATATCGAGCCCAAAGCAGTAATCTTCAAAAGTCGGAGTGGGCTTGAAGAGACGACCTGCCGGAGCACAAAAATCATTTCAAAACAATGATAAGTCACTTTTACTGCATGACCAACAGTAGTGGAATATATCACCGCTATGGGTATTTGTTTTCATGCCTCCATGGCTCAGCTGGTAATGCGGCTGCAGCACGCAGCGCCACCACGTGTGGACCGGCGATGTTGAGGGTTCGAATCCCTCTGGAGGCACATTGGCTGAGCGGGTTGACCGGCTTCGGCTCGCACGCGGCGTCGTGTCAGCAGGTTATGGGCCCCTAGAATGGAGCTTCGCGCCATCGGAACGGGGGTGCTTCCACAGTCAGCACACATTACAACCCGCCCACGAGCACATTTTTTTGGTTCGCTTTTCCCCAAGACTCCTCCAAAACCGAAAGTCAAACTTCTCATAAATGTGATACCAACAAATTACAGTGAATTCGGTGACCGTAAAAGGCAGCAGTATTATAGTTGTGGTGATAGTTGTGACAAGCGCGGAGGAAGGCGAGTTGGTTTTTCGTATGCAAAGGCGCAAGACACATATACAGGCCGTTTGCGTGAACGGTGGAGAGCCCGATTCAGGACGGCGATTACTCTCCTATGCGCTTGAAGCGGGGATCCCAAAGGGCCAAATTACCACGTCTGCGAGCACTTGAGCAGAGTAGGGCGAAAACATGTGATTGACGGGACTTGTCTTCTATTATCATGCACGCCTCAGTCTCAGTCCAATTACGAATTGGTTCTCCAGTATCACTGTGCGTCCTCGCTAAAGAAGCCCGTATAAATGTTCTTGAAGTTGAGGCCGCTAGCCTTGAAAAAGAACTAGAGTGGAACGCGTTTCGGTACCCATACACGTCGTCGCTACAGCTTCACAGCATCATGAAGACGCACATGTGATTGTGAAGAAACACATAAAACTCCTGCATAGATACAACGACTCCAAGGACGCGACTCAGGTGATTAGCGTTGCCTATTTTGCTGAAATCGTTCCTAAATCATTCCAGATCCTTATTGGCAAAGTGAGTATGCGTTGAGCGAGCTTGCCGTCCACTCATGCTCAAACCAGCTTGCGACGCTGAGGGAGACGACCGTTCGGCAGATTCACAACAGGAACTTCTGCGATTAACAGACACGTCCCTGTAGAATTTTGCTACTAGAGCTTTACTACTAAACGACAATCCAACCGTCCCCAAATCGGCCCAGATCTTGACTCGCTCACTCGGAGCTTCGTCTCTCGGGGTCATGCACCGGAATACGCACGGCGAAAGAACTGGAGAAGCAGCAGAGTAGGGCGAAAATACGTCTCAGAGTACGGGTGCCCTCTTGCTCGAGGTCACTGAGCTGGCCGTCCAGGGCAAGCGGATCGACAGTACGGTAATTTCGAAACTGTGGTGTGAAGCCGCCTACAATAATAACAATGCGAAGCTATGACACATGCGACATATATGATGATGATGAGGGGATACTACTAGTAGTGTGGTGCTCCGAAACTGCTGAACCAGTTTACCTCCGCGACATTCCTATCCTCAGCGTATGTCTCCCAGCCACCAACCATATGCCTGCGAATCATTCGTTCAATTAACGTGGAGGGATAAAAAACAACATTGTCCGCACGCGACGTCGGTGGGGACAGCCATCCACATGGACATAAGCTCATCTTCAAAAACGCTCCTCGTGGTATCCGGTGTGCCCGCATCTGCAAGCAACTGCTCAATGGACATTCCCGGTTTGGGGCCGGAAGATTGGCCAAATGTGTCGGTGAAAGGAATGTCAAGATGTGAATAATGTCCGTTCAGCTCATTCGCCAGAAGAGAGCTAAAGTTGCTTGGAGACTGAGACTCGGGGGCAGCGAACTCAGCAGCTCCATTCTTGTATGCGCCAGGGTCAATAGCAATTTGAGTGTTCGGCTGGGTATCGAAAGACCACACATCCCGCAGGATATCCGAAATGCGACCAACCGGTTGATATCTATGACTTGGTATCGAGCGGCATGGTGGCAAGGAAGTGCAGCATACCTCGTTTCAGCAACTTTGAGGAACTCCATCGCTATCGCGACGAGAACCGAATCCTTGTTCTTGTCTATCGAAATACCGACACGTTTGGCTGCCAACATATTCAAAAGAAGAATGAGCCCCGAGACGAAAACGGGGTTCTACTTGAGACTTAGCCATATATTAACAAAGGCAGGAAGGAACATACAATGAGATTTTGTGGAGGTAATCGCTGTAATTTAGTGAACCAAATATCTGCCGTGCGAAGGATCTTGCGTGCTGCATTTGCGCAGATCGAGAGTGATGTGGCGGTCAGTCTGGTCGCCTTTGGATATATGGTCGGTGGATCTGCAAAGCACTTCAGCAAGTCTGAGAGCGTCCGAGAAGGATTCGAACCGCTATCATAAGATAGTGGTACGACACATGCAACACGGCCGACTGGTCAAAGAATACACCCTGTGGCGGACTGTCCGGATCCCACCTAACTGTGGAACGGTTAGAATATAGAAACGGAAATTGTAAAGACGTACGATGAGATGGGATGGAATCTGAAAAGTCGTTCATCATTGAGTCGAAATGAGCAACAGTGCGCTGGTCCCAGTCCAGGCTTTCCCAGCCCATCAGTATCTTCGATTTTTTTCGACGCATACAATCGCCGCATCACATCGGCCGAGATCTGTTTCACGAACTCAGAACACATACGCAGAATGGGATCGATAGGATCACCTCGCAAAGCCGCAAATCGCAGACAAAATACGACAGCTGGGAAGGTTTTCCTGGCGGCTGCGTAAAACCCCTGGTCCCAGTATTCATCATCCACTTGAAGTGGCGGTTCAGTGTCGTACCTAAAAGCCATCAGAAAGGACAGAGACTGGGCGATCAAACTGGTACTCCTCAGCTTGCAGGCTCATTGGGCGCCCGATGCAAGCGCACACCAATCGCTCCAAAGCGACGAAGGACCAGAACGCGCGTCTCCACAGCTCCTCGTCATGATCAGACTCCCACTTGGGGCCTTCGGGCTTTCTTCGGTGGGCGCCGCGGTGGTGAAGGCAGCGAATCCCAATTCCCTAAGGAAAATTATATCCATTCGCTGTCAATGTTCCATGGGTGTCTCTGGACGAGCATACGAGGTACAGCCAGGAGTTTTGGGGGCATGGATATCCCCATGGCATAGAGGGTCAGGATCTGAAAATAAAGACATTGGGAGAGGTGTCGTAGATGTAATATGAGCATACATACGCAGTACATCTGGACTTCATGTATCGTAGGTTCAAACAAATTTCGTAGGATCCAAATTTGATTCGCAAACTTCCAGCCGGCCGAAAGGCATGATGTGTCACCATCGACGAACACGCGAGAGTCTTTAGAGTACTTGGAACGATAGTTATAAATAGAGTCATGGGGAATCGAAGTGCGCTCACCCGCGAGCCAATAGCCAGCACGGAAAGTAACGTTCCGCCAAACTGTGTGTCTGTCAAGTGCAGGCCTTGCGCTACAGACCGCTCAAACGAAGAGCGGTTCAGAATGGGTAGAGTGGGGTGCACATTTGTAAAATATAGACGCAGAAGTGAATCTATCAAGTCGGTGGGAGGATAAACATACTGTGGCCGACGGTCATATGCTTCTTTCTCCCACTAGATGAAATTCTAGTCAGTGGGGACTTGGACGGCGGAAATCAACTTGCCGGTAGCATGTCCCAATATAAGCGGCGGCGCGGATGTAACGTGAATGGTCGTCCGTAATGTGTTTCTTTCATCTGTGAATGCAAGGGTCATAAAAGTAGGCGCATTTCGTCAATGTACTAACCGCGATGGTGTGGTCGGCAAGAGAGAAACTACTGGATGCACCGAAGTAGTTGTTTCCAAACTCATCTAAGTCAAACTGACTGAAACGCGAAGACAGTTCCTCAAGGGTATCCCCCGACTCCAAGGCGGTCTTGGCCGCAGGAACGCTGCAGGGAAGTGTTGAGATACCGCTGGAGGGTCCACCCAAGGCCTGAGCACACAGAGAGCACACAGAGAGCGATCGTAATTTAGCTTTCAGTGAAGCATTCTCCGTCTTGAGGTCATCGTTTTCTTTCTTGAGCTCGTCCACAAGGCTTTCGCGGGCGAAAAAAATCAGAGACCTGAACACAAATCTCACAAGGATACATACTTGTGCTTCCTACCACGCTTCCCTCGCCGGCTCCATATACGTACAGGGCGAACCAAAGGCCAAACAACTCGAGCAGTGACCGTCGGGCATATTCTGGCCATCGCCTAACGACCATTAGAGGGTTTAAAGACACTGAAGAAGACGGGATACATCGAACTACACAAGACGATATATTAGGTGCATGTTGAGTGTAGAGTTCGCGACCCACTTTTACGCTGACGACAAGTATCGCACGACCGCAAAGGTCTTCGTTGCTTCACCGGAATAGATCCAGTCGGACTATGTGAGCGGGAATGCTCTTCTACTTGCTCCTCCTCCGACATGGTAGTGGTGATTACTTGACGCGTCGCGACTTGGGATCAAATCGAAACACCGCAAATCAGTGTACACCAGTCTCAGCTTTGATTGCAACTGAGCTGAAATGCAACCTCACCTTCTTTGAAAGCGAGGCATGTATTGGAATTCTGCTGCTGTTGATCTGTTAATTCCTCGTATTTCCTTGCTCGCATCCTCCCCTTGTCCGAAAATTCGTCGAGCACGACTCGTCCTGGGTCCAAAACGTCCGATGGCATCCGGCAGCGAGGTTTCAGTTCCTCTCGGCAAGGTGCGCACGCCCCAAATTCCCTCATCTCGATCTGACGCCTCTCCAGTTTGGATGGCAAGGTCAAGCTGTGGGATCTACGGGGACCCGATAATTCCTTGATCACTTGGGACCTCCTCCCCGAAGGTCTTTCTACTTTCGACTGTCATCCCACTACTGCCGTATTGCAGTGTAAGTCTTGTTCGAACAAACTTCCGTTTTCTTATCCCGAACAGGACCTCTGCTATCTCCCACGGGCCTGGAGGTCGCAACGCGTCAAGGTGCAGTCTTTGAAGGAAGACGTGACGGTCTCTAGCTTTGGTGTATCTACGGGGTTGACAGCGCCGCCGTCCCGCGGCTTGTTGTCTTCGTTCATCCCTCGGTCGAATTCCCTCGCATTCCACCCGCTTGAGATGTTGTACGGAGTAGGTGAACCGGATGGTACCGGTGAGTTTATTGTCGGCTTGTTCTCTGTCGGAAAAACTTAT